TTTAAGAAATAATTGCAACAAAATCCCAGATTAAAATGTACTATTGCAAATGAAGTCTGCAAAGATGATGCATATACTTTACATTGGAGAATCAGGATCAGCTGTGTAACTGGAAAGGTGTTTCCAGGTCCTTGAATCTAGGGCCTTGGAATTGTAAATAATCATGTAAGTTTTCTAATCAAGGAACAAAGCCAAAATCTGCCTAGGTATTTCTGCCCCACTATTCCATATGGACACATTCCAGAACTATTAGTTACAACTTGAATGTATTCATGAATACACTTATATAACCTTGTGATCACCATCCTGTATTTTCCATATTTCTACACCCTCCCTGCATTTATGCTTCCTTTCTTTCCCGTGTGAATTTACTGAGGTCAATCATCTTCCCATCTCAGACTGTGCTGTGTTCAGATAAACAAACCAACCTGTTTCCTCTTTCAAGAATCTACCATGCTACTTATCATTGAAATAATTATTTATAATTATTGCAGTATAAACAAATTTTTCTTGAATGGAAAAAGTATTCAAGTACTACATACAGCAACTCAGAAGCATTAATGTTGTCACCTACAATGGCATACACATGTAATGAGTATTTCCTCATTCACACATGCAGTAATGTCAGGGCCACGCTCCTATTTTCTTATGGCTGGACAATACTGATGGCTTGTAGTTAGCTTTGATCAATAATTTCTTTGCCCAGGTCATTCTTTTTCTGTCAGTTCCACATGATGAGCTTCCAACTCACAGAAAAGTTTCCTATTTTTAGTCTGTATGTACCTTTATGATGCACCCTGAGGCACTAGTATCTCATGCCAGTTCTTTTACTCCACACTTAACTGTGTTCAGTCATCCAAGACTACCATCCCAATATTGATATTTTAAAACTTTATATTTTGGCTAGGACACTCCTCATTTTTTAATATATATCATTAATATACTATGATCGATGCCAACACCAATTCTTCAAGAACTTTCATGGTATCTTCTTTCCAGTTTATAGTTCCTTTTTTAACAGTGCCTTCAGTTACATCCTTTTCCTTGTTTTCACTCAGATTACAGAGCTTACTCATTAGATCTCCTCTTTCTGCCATAATAGCTTATAATTTTCCTGTGGTACCCTAACAAATACTTTACCAAAATCAAAGAATCATGGAATGCTTTGGGTCGGAAGGGACCTTTGAAGATAATCTAGTCCAACTTCCAGTCCCGTGGGTAGGCAGGGACATCTTCCACTAGATCAGCTGACTAGAAGTCAGAGGATTCTGACCACCTTTTCTATCTTACTTTTGCTTCATTACAGATTTATTCTCCATTCTAAGCCATTATACATGAAACCTAGGTTAACTCAGCTTCATCTATGACGGCAAAGCAGTGTAGAAGAGAAAAAATGCTCTGGATCTGTAGTGCTGCTTTGTATCTACAGTTGGCAACAAGTTTATGGTTTCACAATTAAAGCTGAGTAATAAGAGCACAGGTGCAGTTTAAAAGACAGTGAATTCAACAAGCATTTTTACTTCTTAAACATTTGGAGCGTTCACCCCACACCTCTTCAAATTGAGGTACAACTATTTGTTTCAAGATCAATAAAGATAAATACACAGATACGATAAAGAAATGCCTATCAACATGAAGAAAAGCTGAAAGCGCATCACCCAATAATGGAATCCAAAGCACAGCAGCCTGCAAGAAGCAAGTATTGTCAGCTTGACAAGGACCTCAAGAGCTCTCACACCAAAGGAGTCCAAACAGTCTGAGCTGAACATCTTCACAGTGCCTCACATGTCTGTCCTTTTTCCCCTTTTTCACTATTCCCTTTATTACATGGGATACACCACAGGTACCAGAATTTGAGGAAACTAAGCAGTTAGGCTGCCAGTCAAGTCAAACCTCAGCATAAACACTGAAGTTTTCTCTCCTTCAGTGTGCTCCTAGTTCTCTAGAAACATCCAAAGAAACTCAGCTTGTAGCTATAAATTGCTCTGTAAGAACTATTAAATTTATCATTAATGGAATGTTTCATTAAAATCAGTATCATGTTGGGATGTGGGATCAGAATAAAAGAAAATAGGAAAGTTGCTACACAGTACCACATGAAAGAAGAAAATCTAAAGAAAAAGCTTGAATTTGCACTGATAAACACTAATTTGACCTCATTGCTAACGTCTACTGTCTTGCATGGAGTTCTTTAACTGGGTTAGCAAGTAGCTGGATATCTACCTCTGAATTTCCTTTTCAAAGAATCATGTGCTGCATTTCTCTACACTGAATATTTACCTCAAATATTGCTAATTTTTCTGTGTAGTATTAATTTGACCTTTATATAATAATTGTGTAGCTCAAACTTCAGTTTACTAGAGCTTATTGCTTGTATGATTGTAGCCTGTAGCTTTCCTAGACATAGGCAACCCAGCCTATTTTGTTGGACATTTTTTAAATAAGGAAGGAAAGGATTGTACTTGTCCCCAAAAGTCTAAAACAGAAGTCAAATACAAGACAGGAAAGTATTTGGAGATTCCTTCCCTGCATCAACATTATAGAGAATCACCACATAAAAGCCAGCTGGTATTCCAGATTTTTGTGGGCACGATGGAAACATGCTTTTTTAAAAAGGAAGATTTTAACAAGAACAGAGAAGTGGTTCTGTATTTACAAGGAGCTCTTCTCAGAAGCAAGGGGAAACAGGAGATAAAGCACACAGATTTATTAGTTTAGCAATGCATTCTCTTGACTTTTTTGTCTGCTGGCTTATCAACTGCAACAAAACTTACTAAAGATTGTAAAATTGGTTTTGACAAAGTAATTCAGGCCAGAAAGATTTTGTCAGTAAGATTTTGGATGGGTATCACCTGACTACCTTTTGTGACACAATCAGCTGTCTGTGGTCCAGATCAGCCCTCTGGACTTTCATAAAGTAGAGATGAAACACTATTAGTACTGAAAATCTAAGCTAAAGACGAAGATGATTTCAAGCTTTCAAATACTAAATACATGAAAACCCTTTTTTTCCCTCCAGATGAAGCTCATGGCCTGCTTTTCTTCCAATTAATCTGTCTCTCTATACTTGCCTTCACACACACAAAAGCTCAGAGCCAAACAAACAGCAACCCCCCAAAAAGCTGAAGGGTTCCAATGCCTAAAACCCACTTAATTCTAAAGCTGCAAGTCCCTAAAGTGTTCACTGAACTCTAGAACAACCTTAAACCCAAAGATTTTAAGATATTAAAGTTTCCCAATGCCTGAATTTGCAATTCTGTTCTGTCCCAGCTTTCATAGGATTGGGCAGTTTGATGCTAGCTCAGAAAAAAATCAGGAACTTGGAACTCTTCTGCATAGCTCATTGCATTGAAGAGCTCAGTTTAACAGGTGTTTTTAATTCCTAACAGAACAGAGCTCCATACACTTTTTAAAGTGGGAACCAATTCTGTCTCGCACAAATGTGGGCTCCTGGGAGAGGGAATAGTATGCCTTGTCACTACATGACAGCACAGTAGTTAACTTGTTTGACAGAGATCAGATATGAACTTCCTGGGGTACAAAGCGACAGGCAAAAATCCTTCTTCCCCAGTAACTATCAGTTACTATCAGTAGCTATCCCTACTGGAGGCTAGCAGAAGTAGCTTGGCTTGCTATTTTAAAAATGAGAAGTAGGCGCCCTGATCAGAAGTGCTTGGCTTCAGGAGAAGGTTCAAGGCCAGCAATCCAAAATGAAGAGATGCTTCCTTGTAGCCCTGGCTGGAATAAATGAACTTTAAACACTTCTCCCTTCTGAGCTATCCTGTTAGTTAAGAGTCACAGCAAGTTGAATACACCAAGTTTGTAGTCAGCTTCCTGTTCATCATGTTCATTGCTGTGAATCCTGTTCCAGCACAGTATACTTTTCAATGTGCTCTAGAGAGAGCCCACAGATCACAGAATGCTTCATTTCAACAGTTCCATGCCAAAGAAATCAGACATCACAACTCTGGATGCTTCACCAGATACGACCCAAGTTAACCTTGTACAGGCAGACCCAGAACAGTAGCTGCAAAAAAGGAAGAAGTGCAACTTGCCATTTGAAGTCACAGACTGAAAGTTGTGTACATGCAAAAATTACATTGTTACACTTGTGCGGGTCACCTAATGCAAATACTTCTTGATTTTCTCTGAATGCATTTAATATCCATTTAGCTTATAATTGCTCCTTATATGATTTAAGTAATTCAATGTATAGCAAAGAAGGGATAAGTACACAAGAACACTACTGATTTTTGGAAAATAGAAGTTGAGTTAAAGAAATGCAACTTTCTCAAACAAGTCTGATTCAAAGATGCTATTAACCAATTCTCAGTTTCTTCCTCATGAAGCATAGATGACTTTCAGTTTGAAAATCTCCAAAACAGAAGCCTTCAAATGACATTTCATATTAGAAGCAGTATTTTTTCCTAAGGTCCAGCTATTTAGCATTTTGTAGCAAAGGGATTTCTTGACAAACAGGCTTCCACCTCAGCTGTGGACAACATACTATGGTCAGTATTTCTACAGTTTTTCCTTTGGCAGCTCAGAGGCTCATGATACAAGCCCTAAATTTTTTAGGCAGTCTTTCAGGTCACGGTGAGACCCATGTTAACTTGCATTAATAAATCTGTAGCCACGTATTTGAAAAGAGTAATCTTAACACACGCTGCACCACTAAACTGAAGGAAAACCCCCCTCAAGCTATGTGTTCTTAAGTACACCTCCTGAGCAGAATGACTTCATTCTAAGCAGGAGTTTTATGCCTACTTTTTGTATTTGTGTTTCAACAACTTCCTATCAGATGGGTCTGTAAAAAACCATCTACAAAGAATGAGACTTACAGGATCAGGCCCTAAGTGGAATTACTTTTCAGAAATGCTGTGTCAGCAAATCCTTCTAAAGACTGCAAACAAAAATGAAGCTGTTAAAAAATGCAGAGGGAGATATCAACAGAGAGGGAGAGAACACATGCAAGAGACAGAGACCATCTCCAAGCTCACCTATCCTTGTAGTTTATCACAGTATCAATGATAGCATTCATTTGTTTTGTCAGTTTAGGTGGGTTGGGTGACAACTTCTCTGCAGGAGGTCTGCCTCTTCTCTTCTTTGCTTTCTCTCCATCCTCCTTCCCAGAATCTTTATCCACATTTCTTCTTCTCTTCCGTTTTTTAAGCCGGACTTCCTCTTCCATTTCTTCCAAATTGCCGTCTTCAATTGCCTGACAACCATGGATTCAAAAAGTATGATTTTTAAACAAAGGAGATATTGCAAAGGGAAATAACAAACTGTATTTAAAAACAAAAATGCAACCCCACAGGATGCAGACGATTCAACTCAAAATGTTCAGCTTATTTATAAACAAGAATAAAACAAGAAATTGAGTTCCTAGCAATCAAAGAGCCACTAAACATTAATTTGTTCTAAGAATCCCACTATCATCTAAATAGGTGTGTGTTTATCTGAACCTTGAATTCCACACCAGCTCACAGTTTCACATACAATAATGGCCTGTAGTACTGCAACAGTAAGTGTACAACAAACATTCATTCGTTCATGTCAATGGCAGTTTGGGCTTATGTAGCTCCATGCAAAACAGACTTTGATAGCGCATGTTTTCAAACAGGACAGTCTAAACTGTGCTTGGCTCCCAAAGGCAGATCACACACAGTTCTTTGTGCACACAAACGAAACGCAGATACTTTATATGCAGTAATGACTCAACTTCTCTTCCAAATAGTTTAACCAACTTCCAAATCACCTAAGTGTTAAAACCACCTCTAAAATATGTAATTTTCTCCTAGAAGAGAAACCAACAGACAGGCAGAGGCACTGACAGTACAGTGTTTTACTGTAAAAAGCACTCATAACATGGGATGCAAAAAAAACCTCCCAAAACCCCAACCCACCCCACAGTCACAAACAATGAACACTAGTTTCAATTACCTGGATGTACGCTTTTAACCAGAGACCCAGCAGCCCTATGCAGAGGGATAAAAAAATTGCTACAAAAAACCAAACTAAGAATAAAGGGAACCTGTTCACACACTGACTATCAGATCCATGTGATAAAGGAAGAAGCTGAACTTTTCTGGATTTGGGAAAGCCAACAAAAGAAAAGAAATAAAAATACCAGGTCATAACAGAACTGAAATTAAAAATAAAAAAAACACCAAAAAAAATCTTAAAACTAGGCTTTCTGATTAATGCTTTCTCAGAACATAACTGATGTTGATATTTGTCCCTTTTGCCTCTCAATATTGCCTTGAGTACATGCAAATGCTAATCAATCCTTTCTCGTAGCTGAAAGAGCTCTAATCATAAGGCAATTACCTTCATTTCTCCACAGCACCAAACATGGCTAATATTTATGATCATGTGAGCATAACAATCAATATAAAAAGAGTGATTACAGCCCAGACGTAATTTTTCTCAATTGTGTACAATGTCTCTTGAAAAACATTTTGTGAACAAAACCTGATGCACAACACAAAACAACCTGGCATGTTAAAAACACCAGTGGGATTTCAAAATCTGTTTCCTATGCATCCTCCGATGTGCAAATCCACAGAACAAACACGAACGCAGAATCCTGAGGGACAGCCTGAAACTAGGCCTTAATAATCAAAAGACAATTTACATCATGCTTCCACAGCGTTCAGATAACCACTATGAAGGAGGCTTGAGATCTGATGAGTTAGGAAGAAAAAAGAAGGAAAAAACAAAAATAATCTGCACACAAATTCATTAATATTCATTCAGCTAAAGCAGGACACCCACTATAAACCACTGCAGATAACGAAGATTAAGAAAAGGAAATTTCTCTGCATATCTTGGAAGCTAGAAAAGCTAATAAGAAATACAGCATGCAAGGCTGTCAACAGTTAATGTCATTGCTCTCCTTAAGCACTCAGTTGTACACTGAAATACGGAGAACACTGACTTTTGATGTGTTACACACCTACACATGCCTGTGATGTAGTTCTACTGAATCTTCAAGACGGCAATGAAAAAGGATATTTACCTTACCACTATCAGCAGGCCGGCTATCGGAAATCACAGTTAGTGGGGATAAAATTAACAAGCCAGCAAAGCAGCGAGCTGCTAGTCTCTTCATCAGCTGATCAGGAAAAAAAAGAGAGCTGGGGAAAGGCTATGTTTTCATATACAAGTAATTTTATTTTACTGAAAATTTAATACTGAAAGGATTGTGGATACTCAAATCTGCTGTTTCATTCTACCTACTACAAGGCCTGAAGCCTTCCTCCTTCAGCCTGCTTTAATATTGACAACTACTTATCATATTTCTCCCCTTATTATTCTAGGCTTCCAAATTAGATTTTTAGCTGGGCAGTTACTGATTCTTGTTAGCATTTTAATTATAATAGCACAATTAGACAATTTCATGTATGATTTTAAAACTGAAATAGGCTGCATGCATTTTAAAGATGCATTTAGGTGCATAAAGATACAGGAAAATGTATTCCTATTGCTACGCAGTGAACAGATCAGGTTTTGATTATTGAAGCTGACAAAAAAAAAAATCTATCTGTAGATTTCTGTAAGAAATTAAAAAACAAAACCAAACCACTTATAATTTTGTTAACTTCGGTAACATTTTTTTGTCCTTCAGAAAACTGGTATTCACTTAAAACTAAAATATATTTAAGTTTTTGTTTGCTTGACAAATTTTCTACCACCAAAAAAATAACAGTGGTGCTTCATCACAGAAGCAACATCTCATTTTAGAATTCTGCATAAAATTCTTGCTTGGAGTAGGTAGTATTTTGGGGAAAAAAATATCAGGACAAAGAAAAAAGATCAAAGTTAAAAGATCTTTTTAATATTAAATATAGCAAAGACAAAAATTAAAAATAAAAACCAAGTAAACTAACATACACTCTTACACTCTGAAAATTAGTGACTAGGAGACAGCAAATTAATTCTTAGCATACTGTGGATCTGCAAACAAATATTAAACTGTCTACTTAGCTAGTAAGATACCAATCGATTACTATACTCAGCTTCCAAGATTTATACGCATGAATGTAAACTCAGACAGTTTGCCTGAATGTAAGAGTTTAGCGATACCACTTGAAAATCAGTGTGACAATACCAGCAGTCCAAAAATGTTGTTACTGTGACTTCTAACATCAGTTCTCAAGTGGCAAATTTATGTTCTGTATATAAACAGTAATATTTTAAAACTAAACTTACATGATTTATGCTGCCTAAAAGATGGCTTAAAACTAGATCACATAAATCAATTTCAGCAGAGATATTAATGCTCAGTGCGTATGTCTACACATATGACCCATGCATGTGTGTATGAGCAACAAAATATTTATTAAACTAATTCATCTCTGCTATTTGTTAGAAAAGCTTACTATTCTAGGGCTGAAGTGCCACACCTTCCAAATCTTTACCAATACGACAATGATACAAATAACAGACACAAATCTCCAGTTCCTGACAGATGACAGGCTGTGCGAGAGTGCAATATAGCACAGAGATCTCCCATGCTCAAATGCCTCTGGGTTACTGAGGTGAACAGCAAGGCAATCAGGGAAAATAGTACACAAATAAAAATTTAACACTTTCCTTGCCTAAAGGAAACAGGACAAAAGAGTACAATAAAGTTTGGAGACTTCATATTTTGAAAGAAAGCTTTGAAAATTTAATGTCAAATTTTGCAAAGGGTTGGGCACCACATAAAAGGCAGAGACACCAGTGGAAGTGTGAGCACCCAGTGTTAAGTCCAGTGCTGACAAAATCTTCCTGCGTTTCTGAATCTTACTGCTGTGTCCTGGTCCACATACACAAAACAATTTCCTTGCTGAAGAGCTAAGAGCATGCAGGCTTCTCAGGGTACCAGGATTTTAAGAAAGAACATACTGACCATGGATTAAAGAAACCAAACTACCTTCCTCCAAAAGGAAGCACCCCTCCTCCCAAAAAAACCCCGAAGTGGGTTTTTCAGAAGGCAAGACAGCTGGCCTTCCTATTGCTGCTTGCAATTATATTTTCCTCTTCATAAAGGAAAAAAGCTGTTTTGAGGTGGAAGTACTCTTGGAAGTACTCTTAGTGGGATACAGCTACACAAGCACCTCAGAAACAAAGTAAACATCAAATGGAAACTCTTTTGTTTCTCCATTTGAAGAGCAGGATATTATGGATGTATTCTTAACTTCTTGAGAGCATGACACAGCACCATGACTGAACACCTTATCAACTGATAATTATGGACCCAAATAAGCACTAAGAGCTACAGCTCTGAGTGTTGTTTCACGACTGCCTTCTGCAAGTCAACAATGGTGTTAGTCTTATATTAGTTTTAAATTCATTTTACAGGAATCGGGTAACTCAGGTGTGGTCACACAGTAAATCAATGGAGGTGCTCAGCGTAAAATCGGCTTTGGTGCCTAAGGTCTGTCTCTAATATTCAGATGACACAACACTGACGATAACTATAGTATCATTATGAGAAAATTAAGGCATAGCAAAAGCTATTGCTACTACTTATAGTCCAAGAAACTGTACACACAAAACAAAAGAGGTAGGGAGCCATGTAATAAGTCTACTCGATAATGCTGAAAATATGTTCAGATTAAATGGGAAATGGGCACAGAACATGAGATCTCTTCCTACGTCCCTCTCTGATTTTATCTTAATAAAATGAACATTAAGATAGCTTGCCCCCTTCCCTTCATGCATCAATGCCCTGTGTCTCTCCAACCTACAAAGTTAGAAGAGAGCTCTTGTGACTAACATTACCATGTGAACAGATCTGCTAGCATGCTAATTAAACTCCATGCTTCCACAGAAAGCATACAGAACATAGGTGAACAGAAAAAAAAGACAGCTTCCCAGCGCCCTCAACATAAATACTAACCCAATCATGCAACATTTCCAAAAGAACGAACTTTTCCAGGAACAACAAATAACTTACCTGGGCATTGTTCTGACTACTGGCCAACAGGCACTAAGCTTAAGGGCTGTGAAGCACTTAAAACCAAAAAAAGTCAGTAACGCAGTAATGAACAACAGATGACTGCTTTGCAAAATGAAGTTCCCATTTACCAATTTGGAAGAGAAGAAAGAAGTAAAAGTACCCTACAGAAGGCTAGTAACAAACAACGAAAGCACTAAAATGTCATATACCTGCCCCTACCAATTTCTCTTCAGCATAATCCTTCAAGTCCTATAATGATATTCCAAGAG